GGGAGGAGCATCCCAGTCAAAGGCACTGGCAAGTGCAAAGGCCCCGAGGTAGGGGCATGCTTGGCATGTTTTGGGATAAGAAGTAAGGCTAACGTGACTGAAGTGACATGGATAAAGACAGACAGATGGAAAGAGAAGAGTCTCGGATGTGCTAGGCTGGAGGTGTCTGCCAGACTTCCAGGTAGGAAGGCCAGAGGCACTTAGATGTGTGAGTCTTCTTTTCCTAGCCCCTGACTTCCCCTGCCAGCCTCCACCGCTCCTGGAGCTCTGACCTCTATGCTCACCGCTCGCTGCCTGCTGCCTTTCCTCAGCTGTCTCCTAGATCTCTTAGCTGCCCCTCATCCCTACACTCAGAGCCTGGGAGTCCCTCCATGTGTGCCAGTGTCTTCATGATCCCCACATCTGATCTGTCAGCACATCCCAGCATTGTACTGCACAGAGAACTCTCTGAGTTCCTTCCTGGCTGGTCCCCCTCTTTCCTTTCTTATTTCTCCACTCTGTGGAGCCAGAGTGACCTTATCAAAGCACATGATAGCAAGTGTCATTCATCTTCTCAACCCCAGGCCACCACTACCTCTGAGGGCTTCTTTGTCCTCATGGTGAAGGTGGCTGGCCCATGTCTCCAACCTGATGCCACTGTCCCTGGCCCACTCCCCTCCAGCCAGCCCACTGCCTTTAAATCCCTCAACCAGGCCATGTTCTTTCCCACCTCAGCGCCTCAAACTTGCCCTGCTCTTCCCTCTGTCTGGAGCCCCTGTGGGTGGTTTCTTCTCCCTCTGGATTCAGCTTTAGTGCCACCTCCTCAAGGAAGCCCTCCCTGATAACCCAGGAAGGATTATGTCCCCCAGTTATTCTCTCCCACAGCCCCTCTCCATGGTTATGTAGTCTGAGTTTGTTAGTTGATGATTTTATTTTAATTATTTGAGAGAGAGTGAGAGGAGGCATGAGTGGAGGGAGGGGCAGAGGGAGAGGGAGAGGGAGAAGCAGACTCTCTGCTGAGCAGGGAGCCTGATGTGGGGCTCAATTCTAGGACCTGGAAAGCATGACCTGAGCTGAAAGGAGACGCTTAGCCAGTTGAGCCACCCAGGCACTCCTGGTTGAGGATTTTAGAATCTTCCCACCCCCTCCCCCCTCTATCCCCAGCAGTAGACTCCAGAATCTGTGCTGCTTGCCCTGTATCACTCCAGGGCCTGGGCCCCGTATATGAGAGAAACTTGATAAATATGTGTTGAGTGAATGTACATACAGTACCTCCACCACTCAACTTGGATATTAGTAAATATGAGTGAGTTGTTGAGTAGATGGATGGAATCTCTCAAAGTTGGCCAGAAAATGAACGGAAAGCCTGTTTTTTCCCCATTCTTGAGTTGGCAGAACTACTTCCCCAAATTTTTGGTGTCCTAGATGGATCTTACATTCTTAAAGGATATCTTGTAGAATGTGGGTTTGTCGACGAGCCTATGTGTTGATGCTGTCTGCATGCATGTGAGAGCCCATAGTAGTGCCACACCGCCCTGTCCCCATCTCTATCTGTTTCACAATTTCCTGTTGGGCCCTTGAAATCTTGATTTGCACAGTTATTTGTCTTTCTGCTCTTCACGGTGCCCTCTTAAGGCATTCTTTATTATTTCAGTCCTAAGAACACAAGTCCCATTGAAAAGAACATGCTTTTAATGAAGCCTGCTTGGAGATGGCCTTGATGGTGGGGGTGGGGGCTGTCAGGGCAGCGAAGGCCATGAGCCCTTTGTCACAGGAAGCATCATGAACACCAAAAACTCACTCAGGCCCTGGCCACTCTGGAATCTCAGCTCCACGCTGTGCCAGGTGTGTTTTGGCCATGAGGGGCATTTTCTCTTCCAGAATCAGATGCAGCCATTCTCTTCCAATGGGCTGGATATTTAACTGGGTCGGCCATAAGCAGTGTTTGTCACCCGCCTCTGTGCTAGGCTCTAAGGATGCAGCAGTAGGAACTTGGATTTAAAAGGGGAGATACACAGATTTGATAGGCAAAAATTAAGAAATCTGGCCATGCCAGATATTGGAGAAGACGTTATCCATCCACAGGTGGGATAACGGCCTGTGGGACTTGGTTCTTTATGTAGCAGACCTGAACACTCACTCCTGACCTGGCAGTTCTGGTCAGGGCCCGCATCTTCCAGAAACCCTCCTTGCACTGTGCACCAGGCAGGCTTCTTGTGTAAGAGGGAATTCATTGCATCACTTTCCAGCAAAAAACTGGAAATGACCCATGTGCACATCAATAGGAGGCTGAATGGGGGTCTGTGTGTACTCTGTGACATACAGCATCCCCAACAAATGAGCTGCAGGTGTAGGCAGCATGGGCACGAGCTACAGATTTCAAAAACTCAGAAAACAAAGCAAAGTATTGATTAGGCATATGTACTACATATGTAGTGAGCTTCCGCACAACCGTGTACATGTATATATAAAAAGTAAAGAATGCCACACACCAAATTCAAGAGAAGGGTTGCCCACAGCTGGGGGACAGGCTGGAGAACTAGGTGGGGGAGGAGCACAAAGAGACTGAAGTTATTGGTGATGTCTTAGTTCTCAGGGTGGTTGATGGGGCCATGTATACTTACTCTGTTGTAATTTAGCTCAGTAAGTACGGGGAAGCACAGACTAGCAATAAAGCAGCAATGGCAATACAGGAAGTCAGGTTCAGAGCACCCTGGGGAGAGTAACCAGCTCGGTCTGGAATGAGCAGGAAAGCCATTCCAGGGGATACCCTGGGATGAAAGGTATTTCGGGTGGAAGAAGTCCCAGGGAGAAGGGTGCTCACAGGCAAAATGAATGTGTGGTTGTGTATGTAGGGAATTGTTCAAGCTTCCCCTGGTTGCGGCTCAAAGTGTTGGGAGAATATGGGGCCGAAAGAGCTGTTGAGGCAGGCCACATGGCAGTGGGAGGCTCCAGGGAAGGCCATGTGGAGAAGCCAGGCAAGCCAAAGTCCTTGGTGGGACAGCAGCGGGGGTGTCAGCTGCAAGGCCCCTACCCAACCTGAGCAGCTTACCTGTTGTGGGGACAGGTGGTGGTGGCCAGAGGGCTGATTCCCCATCCAATTTCGTTTGACCAAAGGATCTTCCTGTTCACAACAGCTATGCGCAAAAGGTTTGAAAGTGGTGATGTGGAAGAGGAGAGCCCGTGTAGAGGTTGGTGCCAAAGAGTTGCATCATCCGACATGTGTTTTAGAAAGCTGGCCTGGAGAAGAGAGATGGGTGGGGTGGGGGCTGGAGGACAGCTCCCGGGGCAGCTACGGGCCGCAGGGTGGGGTGGAGGGGTAGAGCCATGATTTGGGGCCTGCCTCACTCGGCAGATGCTTAGTGTAAGATAATATTCTCCGGTTACTCTGAGGTGCATTCCTGAAAATCTTAGTTTCCCATTGCTCTTGTAGATCATTTCAGAGATGTTTTATGTTTCTCTTTGATTGATCTTGGCTGTGGCTTTTGACACTGCACTTCTCACTTTCTCCACCCCCTGACCTCTTGGTTAGGTAGTTAATGATCTTTAAACAAACATGTGAGTATTATGGCTCTCCAGAAAAGGGCCTGGCCTCCTGGGCCCAGAGCAGCTCAGCATTCTCCCTTCATCCAGGGAGAAGACGAGTGCTCCACACACCCGGGTTTTGCAGATGGAGATGCTTGCAACCTGAAAGCTAAGGTGTCTTGAACTTAAGTTTCAATGGCAGGTTTTCTGAAATACATTACCCGTTTCTTTGCTGCACTAAGCGTGATCTCATCTCCTCTCTGACAGTGGATCTTAGTAGGAATGTTCATTGATTTCGTGGAATGTTTATTAGAGCCTTTCTCATGTCTGTTCCTGATTTACAAACTGTGGGTGCAGAAATCTGCCTGGTGTGGTAGTTGGGGCGGTTTCCAAATAGAGATAGATTAGGTTACTCCTCTGCCTAAACTCCTCTGTGACTTCCGGCCTGCCCTCATTGCCCTCCCTGCTGCAGCCCTCCCACGGCTTTGTTTCTCAGACCCACAGAGCCTTCATCCTGGGCCTATACTCTCATCGGCTTCCCTTCAGAACTCTCTTTTTTTGGATCTTCACACGACTTTTAGAGGGTCTTAGCTGAGAAGACCCTCTACAGAAGTCTTCCTTGACCAACACTCTAAGAAGCCAGACCTTCCCCCAAATGCTAGGCCTTCTCTATATGTTATAAATGATACACATATTATATGTGATACAACAAGGTATATATAATATGCTCATATAATTATGTTATGTATTTACATATGAAGTTTTATATATGAATTGTATCAATACAAACTTAGTTGATGTTAACATATTTGCAGTTTTCTTGCTATTTCTCACTCTATTCCTACTCCCAGAACAGTCTTTGGCACACTCAGGACTGTGTCCTGTGAGTAAAGAGTGGCCTGCCCTGGAGAAGCCTATGGGCTTCCATAGGGCCCATAGGCAGACAGGCACTGACAGCAGAGCAGGCTGTGTATGACTCAGAGGGGCTGGGGTAGCACTAAAGAGAAGGGGGTAGATCCTGCTCACTGGGGGTAGACTTTCTAGAGCAGCCTGTGAGAGCCCATAGTAGTGCCACAGGAGTCTGGCCTGGGCTTTCAAGGACAAATGGCCATAGCTTGGCAGGCTGAGGACCTGTGGGGCCATTCTGGATGTGATGGCAAGCCTATACAGAGGGTTCAAGGCAAGAAAATGCTGGAATGGAGTCTGGGGTGGAACAGGGGACTAGGACAGAAGGAACTAAGGAGGTAGCTCAGGATTCGATTGCTATGACCGCCACCTACATCCTGGACTAGGGCGCCCTGTGGGCCACATGTTTGCAGGTGGAGCTTGCTCTGGCCAAGGGGAGTCTGACTGCCCCAGAACTCTTCTGGGCTGGCATGCCGGGTGCCAGGTTAAGTGTTGGCAGCACTGAGATAGGACTTCTCTGGCTGGAGCCACTCCCCACCTCAGCCTCAAGGCTCTTTGTTTCATGAGCTTTCTCTTTTGCTACCCACCAGGTGGTGAAGAAGGTGAAGTCCATGCAGATGTTTCACATGCCTGTCATGTCAGCCATGCAGGGAGACCGGCTGGGCATCTGCGTCACTCAGTTTGACCCCAAGCTGCTGGAGCGTGGCCTGGTGTGTGCTCCAGAGTCCCTGCACACTGTCCACGCAGCCATCATCTCTGTGGAGAAGATCCAATATTTCCGAGGGCCCCTGCAGACCAAAGCCAAGTTCCACATCACAGTGGGCCATGAGACAGTCATGGGCCGGTTGATGTTCTTCAGCCCTGCCCCTGATAACTTTGACCACGAGCCCGTGCTGGACTCCTTCGACTTCTCTCAAGAATACCTCTTCCAGGAGCAGTATCTAGATAAGGATTTGGCACCAGCAGTGACAGACAGTGGTGAGGCAGACAAGAAGACGAGCCAGGCCACAGAAGGCCGCTGTCCTCGGCAGCAGTGGGCCCTCGTGGAGTTTGAGAAGCCTGTCACCTGCCCTCGGCTGTGCCTGGTGATTGGCTCCAGGCTAGATGCAGACATTCATGCTAACACGTGCCGGCTTGCCTTCCACGGCGTCCTGCTCCATGGACTGGAGGGCAAGGACTATGCCGAGAGCTTCTTGCCCAGGCTGAACGTGTATAAGCTCAAGCACAAACATGGCCTTGTAGAGCGGGTAAGCAGTTCCTCCACCCATCACCCTTCCTTGTCAGGCTCAGGTGGCTGGGATGGACACCACTGGGGTCCGTGATGAGAACCAATAGGAAGACCTTATAGGCCTTCTCATCCCAACTTCTGAGGTTTTCAAACAAAGAAACTGAGGCCCAGAGTAGCCGAGTGGTAGCCCTCAGCCAACAGAGCCGGGGCCTAAACCAAGGCAGGGGAGCTCCACTGCACCTGTCTCCAACCAGCCATCCCTGCCCTCACCTTGGTAATAGAGGTGGCCTATGTAGGGGAGAGCAGCCCTGGTCCCTCACACAAACTAGTTTCAGACAGCAGCATTTCACCTGGGCCAGAAGCCAGTGGTATTAGTAGCCTCCTTGAGTTTCAGATAACAGGCCGGGCCTTGCACCTCACAGCCTGATAACCAGCCCCTCACTCTCATGGCCGCAGTGGGGGCTGAGCCTCCATCAGGCAAGGTGGCTGCTGGGTTTGCCCCCATTCCAGTCATATTAAAGGAGGGAGCATGGCTGGTCAGTGCAGGGCAGGCCCGGCCAAGCATGTCCTCAGCCTGTGGGGAGGGGGAAGGGTGAAGGATGATGGTGGTGGGAGATGCCAGAGGGCAAGAGTTTGGAAGGTATGGGAAGGTGAAACAGTGGGAGAGGCCGGCCTGCTGGCTTCCTCTGGTTCACAGTCCTTTCGTGAGGGTAGGCAGATGGAATAGCCTAGAGCCTTAAGGGGTCCTGAAGTCCTGAGATTGCCTTCTGTCAGGTGGGCCCCGCCTACCCTCTGTATCTATCACTGTTGATCTCAATGGGAATCTCTGCCTCCTGGGCCTCCAAGAGATGGGTGGAGAATGTCCAAACCTCTGTCCAAACCTCACTCACTCCCTGAATGTGGGTCCCCGAGGGGCAGGGGTGGCTGTGGGTGTTCCTGGGACTTGTCTCTGAGCCAGGTGAGCATGGCAGTGCTGAGACCCCAGTGTTGGGAAGCTTAGGCTATAGTGGGTTCTGCCCTGAGGCCCTCAGCAGGGCTGCAGTTTTGTTCATTAGATAGCAAGATGAGGGTTACCCCTCCCCCATGCAGCACCCTGCCTGCATCAGCATAGGCTCGGGCATGGCGTCTGACCTTTATCTAGTAGGCACTCAGGAGAAAGTATCAGGGCCTTGGGCACCCAGCTGTGGACAGGGTTTTCCACTGCCATCCCCCACCATCTTCCGCTCTCAGATCCCCATGTTTCTCCTCTGGAACTCTGTCACTGCAGAAACTCACACTCCCCTCCTCCCTGTCTCAGGATTCATCCTGGTGCTCAGGCCCAGTTTCCTATCCTGCCTGTATTAAGACCTGCCCTCCGGGGGACTCAGTAGAAGTTTCTTACTTGCCCACTCACAGTGCATCCAAAACTCAGGATCCCGTAGTTTTATAAGCTCAAACCTCCCACTCCAAGGCCAACCTTGCCCCCTCAGGCAAGCACGGTCAGCCTGCGTTGCTGGGCAGCATGGTCACCCTGCGTTGCTGCTGGAGTCCCAAAGCTGAAGCCATGTCTGCATCCTCTGCTCTTTGCCATCTGCCCCCCTTTGTTTTTTTTTTTTTATCTGCCCCCCTTTGAATGTTGGTTTCCTCATCCACAGAGTGGTAGCCCAAACTCCCAGCACCTCCAGGAGAGGTCAAGGTCTGACTATGGGGACCACTCAAAGGTTCCATCAGCCTGGGGCCAGCCCCAAGATGCTGATTGAAGACGAAGGTGATAAAGTGCATGTCAGTCGTTCCTCTAGCTTGATTTATTAGCAGTATTATGAAGTATAATTATTCTCTGGTGAAATATCTGTCATAGAGTAATGTCCTACTTGGTAAGTTCACAGGTCTAATTGCCTCACACAGGCCTGTTGGTGGTGGAGCAGCAGTTACTTCCTTTGAGAATGAGGAGTGTGTGTTTGTGAGGAGCAAATAAACATACTATTGAATGCCTCTTGCTTCCTAAGGGCAGTGGGGAGGGCCCAGGAGACGTGCTGACCCAGTCCCTGCCACCAATCTGGGGCATTCCTGAGGCCACAGCCCTTTTCTGCTTAGTCCAGAGAGGCCAGAAGTAGAGGCATAAGAGCCACAGACTTGCAGTGAACAGATCCCACATAGAAACCCTGAGCAGAAAGGCTCTTTCCAACCGGGGACTGCTTCAGGTGGGGCTATGGATGTGTGTGGAGGGGTCCTGAGACTGGAATCCTGCAAGGAAGGACAGGGCGCAGGCACCCAGGTTCCTCCTACCAGCTCTTTAAGGCTCTAGCTGAATGGATACCTGTCCTGTTTCCCTTCTGGGCCCAGGGGCAGGAATACACCTGCCTCCTGCCTCCCTGCACCCCATCCCTGCTCTGTTTATTCAACACCTACTGTGTGCCATTGTTAGCTGCTTACATTATTTTGAATCCTTATAAAAATTCAAGGAGGAGGTTATTACTTTTCCTATGTATTTTTTTGAAATTATTAAATCACTTTCTCCCTTCTATAATTATATGTAAGTATTTGGGGAAAGTAATATATGCACATGGTAAAAAAAATAATTCAGACAACACAGAAAATTACTTAAAAAAAAAAAAAAAAAAGCTAGTTTCTCCCTGCTCTGACCTCAGGCCCTCAGGGCCCCTCTGCAAAGGCAGCCACACAGGAAACCAGCTCAAGAGATGTAAAACGACCCACCCACATTACAGGATGGCCAAGTCAGGGTTTGAACCCAGCACTGATGACCTCTGAGCCCTTTTCTTTCTAGCAAATCTGATAGATTCTTACCCAGTGAGTTGAGAGGCTAGTGTGCTCTCAAGAAGCTGGAGTCTCTTTGGTGGGAGACTTTTCTTCCTGGTAAGGTTGGTAAGCATAGAACTTGGGGGTCACGCACACTGGGCTCAGACCCTGGCTGTGCCATGTAACAGCTGTATGCCTTGGGCAGCCGTTTTATTTCAATATCCTCATTCCTTTGAGGAGCAGTCTCCACCTCACAGGTAAAATGGCTTTATATATAAGAGTTCAGTCTAGCTCAGGGGAGGCAGGAAGATTTCCTAGTACAGCTCACAGTAGGCCAGGCTTATTCCAGTGGGCAGCCCTCTTTGCTTTGAGCAAGACCCAGAGTGCACAGAGATTTGCGGAACACTTGATTGGCCACAGCCTTTGCCATGTGGCAGACTGGTCAAATGTGCCAGCCTGGGCTTCAGTCTCAGCCTGACCAACCTCCTGGTGTGAAGATGTGGGCAGGTCCAAGGAATTCCACAGCTCTGCACCAGGGGGTGAGATATGGGCCAGTTGGGGAGTGCATGAAGGTTGTGAGATCAGTGCTTGGCTCCTATTCTGCACTTGTTCTTTTATTATTATTAATTTTTAAGCCCTTAGAGTCAGAATAATAAATCCTGGAGCTTGGGGCAGAATGATATTCCAGTCCTTTCTCCAGGACTTCATTGCCCCTCTCTGAAGCACAGGAACAATCCCCTGGTCCCTGTCAAGAGCCACCCTGGACTGGTGCAAATGGCATTTGGGGAGGGAACTAAGAGTCACGCTGGCTGCTGAGTGTGGTTGACCAGGGCAGGGAGTCCCCAGTGCTGATTTTGCCCCAGCTGCCTGCCTCTGAAAATTGCTAGACACTTTGAAGCTACCACCCCACCCCAAGGCATACTTCCATATAAAGACATCTCCAGGAGCCCAAGTCATCTTGAAAAGGTTAAATTCAAAGATGTCTGGGTGGCTCAGTGGTTGAGCTTCTGCCTTTCGACTCAGGGCATGATCCTGGGGTCCTGGGATCAAGGCCTGCATCAGGCTACCCATGGGGACCCAGTTTCTCCCTCTGCCTATGTCTCTGTCTCTCTGTGTGTCTCTCATGAGTAAATAAAACCTTTAAAAAAAAAAAAAAAGAAAAGGTTAAATCCAGTCTCCTGGGCAGGTTCTTCACCACCATGGCAAACCAACTCCCAGCCCCTGCTCCGTGATGCTGAGCAGACTCCTTGTGTCTGCTCTACAAACACAGTCACTTTCTGGGAGCTCAGCTTGGGCCTCCAAGACATCCTCCATTTATAAACAAGGAAGGTCCAGCCCTATATGGATATATGTTGAATGGACACTTTCCATCTGGACAGACTTAAGGCACATAGTGCTTCTGAGCCCATTGCCTAAAAGACATTATTCATCCATACGTCCAGATGTTTACCTAGCTTCTGTGTGTGCCAGGCAGCAAGGCGGACAGAGTTCTTGTTCTCGCAGGAGAGACTGACAAGGAATAGTACCTTAGATGCTTTCAGGTAGTAGTAAGTTCTAGAAAGAATGTAACAGTGAAATAAATACAAACTGCTGAGGACAGTACCTGGCACATAACGAGGCCAGCCATTAGCCTTCCCCGGGGTTTTCTCTTACTTCTGTGCTTCATTTGCTCACACTGGAGAATGGATCAAGTTCCCCTGCAGAAGTGGCTTCACTCAGTGGTGTCACCTAGAGTGTCGGTGGCCTATGGGCCACATCCAAGCAATTGGTCTTGGCCCAAATCTAATCATCTTAAGCAGGCTTTTCTTCTCTGGATACTTTTTTAGCTACTGTAATCAAACACAATTTAATTAACTTACCACCAGCAAATGGCTTTCCTTGCTTGGCTAACAAATGAACCACTTGGAAACTTACTTTGTAGCCTATTTTCTCTTTCTCTCTCTCTCTCTCTCTCTCTCTCTCTCTCTCTCTTTTCTTTTGTGAAGAAATTCTGATATGATGAGATATGCTGCTTGAAATCATCTCATTTTTTTCTGTGAGCTGAGAATAGTATGATGTCAGTGTATGCTGTATTTTATTAACACAGCCAATAACAAACACAGAACTTTGCCATGTAGTTCAATAAAATAATAATCTGCATGTCACTGAGCATTAAAAGTGTGACATTAAAAGTCCACTTTTCCTATTTTGACATGGTACCTATGCACTGGTAATAAAAATGAATAAATAGAACATATGGCTGGGTGAGGTGCTGTGGAACCGTCCCAGAGTTACGGTACCCAG